GCTGGAGGCCTCCTGACTTAGAGCAGGGCCGGGGAAGGCAGGCAGAGCTGGGATGCTTGGGCCAGGCAAACTCCCAGGCTGCAGGGCTTGAAGCCAGGCTGGAGGGAACTAAGGCTGCAGTGGGACAGCCAGGGCAGCAGAAGACAGCAGGTCCAACCCCCCTTGCTAATGCAGAGTGGCCATGTCAGACAGCAGTTTGCCCCTGTGGCAGGAGCTAGATGATGACCGGCAGTGGGTCACTGAGGCATGGTGGGCATAGGAGGTAGGGGTTCCCAGATAGGGAGGACCCCAGAGCATGAGGGCCCTGTGGCAGGGCAATACCCAGAGGGGAGGGTGCCACGGTCTGGGAAGGATGATGGGTGTATACACGGAGGTGCAGGAATATAGGTAACAGCAGGTGAGACACCAGCCAGAAGGGGGCACTCCAGTCCTGAAAATCCAGTTCCCAGAGTGTCCAGCAGGGGGTGCCCATGGAATGAGTCACGCCACAGTACATTGTGGTATAACGGATCGGGAGTTGACTCTCCATTCGCACCTGTCTGACGATGGATGTTGATTCCTTTGGGACAACAGAAAGTCTATGTTCCAGTAACACATGAAGGAAAACTCCACACACATGGGGACAGAGCACAGAATGCCCCCCTGCTCCTCAGGTTTGGGTGTTTAAATGATACCACACAAGGCAACACAAGTTGTCGTGTTCATATAATATCCCCTTCCAAACCAGACTAGGAAGGGAACACGGCAGAGCTGGAATTCATAGGTGAATTTGACACCCACAAAAACATGTAAAGACATGGAACGGCTCTTATATGGCAATCGGTAATTTCCCCTTCCGACGCTCTCACCATCTCCTCATGGCTGAAGGTGAGCCATGGCCACTTTGGTTTAATTAGCACCGATGTCACATTCCCATCTCTGTAGACTTTCCTTCCTTTTCTCTTCAAGCATCTGAAGAAGTGAGATGCATCTCACAAAAGCTTGCACCCTAATTAATGTGTTAGTTTTGAAAGTGTCACCAGACTTCCTGTGGTTAGGACAGACTTTCTGTAACACATAGGCTACGTCTACATTGGCAAGATTTTGAACAAAAGCGCCTGCTTTTGCGCAAAATCTTGCCAACTGTCTACACTGGCAGTGAGTACTTGCGCAAGAACACTGACGTTCTAATGTATAAAATCAGTGTTTCTTGTGCAAATACCTTGACGCTCCCGCTCAGGGATAAGCCCTCTTGCGCAACTGTTGTGGTGCAAGAGGTGGGAATAGCCAGCATGGGTTTGTGAAGAACAAGTCATGCCAAACTAATCTGATAGCTTTCTTTGATAAGATAACGAGCCTTGTGGATAAGGGAGAAGCGGTGGATGTCATATACCTAGACTTTAGTAAGGCATTTGATACGGTCTCGCATGATATTCTTATTGATAAACTAGGCAAATATAACTTAGATAGGGCCACGATAAGGTGGGTGCATAATTGGCTGGATAACCGTAGTCAGAGAGTTGTTGTTAACGGTTCTAAATCCTGCTGGAAAGGGATAACAAGTGGAGTTCCTCAAGGGTCTGTTTTGGGACCCGTACTGTTCAATATCTTCATCAATGATGTAGATATTGGGATAGAGAGTACTCTTATTAAGTTTGCAGATGATACCAAACTGGGTGGGGTTGCGACTTCTTTGGAGGATAGGGACATAATTCAAAATGACCTTAGCAAGTTAGAGAAATGGTCGGAGGTAAACAGGATGAGGTTTAATAAGGAGAAATGCAAAGTGCTCCACTTAGGAAGGAACAATCAGTTCCATACATACAAGATGGGAAGCGACTGTCTAGGAAGGAGCATGGCGGAAAGGGATCTAGGGGTCATAGTGGACCACAAGTTGAATATGAGTCAACAGTGTGATGCTGTTGCCAAAAAAGCAAATATGATTCTAGGTTGTATCAACAGGTGTGTTGTAAGCAAAACTCGTGAAGTCATTCTGCCGCTCTATTCTGCACTAGTTAGGCCTCAGCTGGAGTACTGTGTCCAGTTCTGGGCGCCACATTTCAAGAAAGATGTGGAGAAATTGGAAAGGGTACAGAGAAGAGTGACAAGAATGATTAAAGGTCTAGAGAAGCCTATGAAGCCAGGCTTCATGAACTGGGCTTGTTTAGTTTGGAAAAAAGAAGATTAAGGGGGGACATGATAGTGGTTTTCAAATATCTAAAAGGGTGTCACAAGGAGGAAGGCGAAAATTTGTTCCTCTTGGTTTCTGAGGACAGGACATGGAGTAATGGGCTTAAAGTGCAGCAGGGGAGGTTTAGATTGGACATTAGGAAAACATTCCTAACTGTCAGGGTGGTCAAATATTGGAATAAATTGCCAAGGGAGGTGGTGGAATCTCCCTCTCTGGAGATATTTAAGAACAGGTTAGATAGACATCTGTCAGGGATGGTGTAGGTGGAGCTTGGTCCTGCCTTGAGGGCGGGGGGCTGGACTCGATGACCTCTTGAGGTCCCTTCCAGTCCTATGATTCTATGATTCTATGTAGCCATAGGGTACATCTAGACTACAGGCTTTTGTCAACAAAGGTTTTGTTGACATATAGGGTGTGTATAGGGGTACGTCTAGACTACATGCCTCTGTCGCCAGAGGCATGTAGATTAGGCTACCAGACATAGGAAAATGAAGCGGCAATTTAAATAATCGCCGTTTCATTTAAATTTACATGGCTGACACGCTGAGCCGACAAACAGCTGATCAGCTGTTTGTTGGCTCAGCGCGATAGTCTGGATGCCTGGGTGGCAACATCAAAGGTATTTGTCGACCACCCAGGTATACCTCATCCCAGAAGGCATACCTGGGTGGTTGACAAAAACCTTTGATGTCGACACCCGCGCGTTCAGACTATCGCACTGAGCCGACAAACAGCTGATCAGCTGTTTGTCGGCTCAGCGCGGCAGCCATGTAAATGTAAATGAAGCGGCAATTATTTAAATTGCCGCTTCATTTTCCTATGTCTGGTAGCCTAATCTACATGCCTCTGACAACAGAGGCATGTAGACTAGACGTACCCTAGACTACATGGCTTTGTTGACAGAGCCATGTAGATGAGACTGATCAAAAGAGGGAAGTGAAGCCGCGATTTAAATAAGCCCCCATATGCCTCGTAGGATGAGGCTTGAACAGCTGATCAGCTGTTTGTCGGCTCAGCGCGGCAGCCATGTAAATGTAAATGAAGCGGCAATTATTTAAATTGCCGCTTCATTTTCCTATGTCTGGTAGCCTAATCTACATGCCTCTGACAACAGAGGCATGTAGACTAGACGTACCCTAGACTACATGGCTTTGTTGACAGAGCCATGTAGATGAGACTGATCAAAATAGTCAATGAAGTGGGGATTTAAATAATCCCCGCTTCATTAAAATAAAAATGGCCGCTGTGCTGTGCCCACAATCAGCTGATCCGGCACAGCGTGCGAGTCTAGACACAGATCAGTCGACAAAGGAAGCCTTGACCATCAGCTGGTCGGCAGAGCGTGGCAGCCATTTAAATTTAAATTAAGCCACGATTATTTAAATCATGGCTTCATGTCCCCCTGCTGATCAGCTTCATCTACATGGCTCCGTCGACGGAGCCATGTAGTTTAGACACACCCATACTGTCGACGAAGCCTCTGTTGACAAAGAGCATCTACACTGCATCCAGTTCTGGAAAAGAGCATCCAGTTCTGTCGACAAAGGAAGCCACTTCATTGACATGATAGTGTAGATGCAAAGATCAGTGTAGCTGCAATAATAACTTCTGTCGACAGAACTCTGTCAACAAAAGGCGTTATTCCTTGTAAAATGAAGTTTACCACCATCGACAAAACTGCCGCGTTCTGTCAACTTTATGTTGACAGAACTCGGTGGTAGTCTAGATGCAGGTATAGTTTTCTTGACAAAAATCCACTTTTGTCGACAAATCCCTGTAGTCTAGACACACCCATAATTACATGGTCATGGTGATCATGGGGACTTCCACTGCCCTGGATTCGCCCAACAAGAATAATATGCCTTCCTTCCCCCAAGAACAAAGAGATTTATGACCCAGCCCAGCCAAAAGCCATCATTTGGGCAAGGCTGTTGGCTCCCTCTGAGAAGCTAGGCATTGTGGGTATTTTCATGCAGAAGAGATTGACTTCTGCAGTGCACTTTCCCCATTCAATCACTAGGGGTCAAAAGGGAGCTAAGACAGACCCAGTTTAAACTGGGGAGCCTCATTTTACAGGTAGGTTACCCTAGGAAGGAAGGTGCATTCCTATGAGACGCGATGTGTACAAAGCCGAGAGACAAAGCTACTGCAAATACGGTTTAATTTAATGTAATTGAATGAAAGACCCAAAGAAGGTCCAACAAGGACCCACATCGGTTGCCTTTTCTCTTTACTGCTGCTTGTCCCTGGCTCCGAAACCCACCTGGTGCCAGATCCATGAATATAAACACGGAATTTGCCACTAGGTAGCACATGCCCCTCCCCACCCACGTACACCCCCATCTACTCAGTTCTCCCCATTAACACGGGTCTCCATGTTTTGAGGAGCAGCCTTGGGCAATACTGGCCTGCACTCGGCATCCTGTTGAGTCTTTATTTCCCTCCCGTATGGATTTATTTGGCCTGGCCTCCCCCTCCCCTCGCTCCTTCCTCAGGCTGGCGGCTTTGGAGAAAAATTCCAACCTGAGAACAGCCCCCACTTCCTTGCTTGAGAGTTGGGGATTCCCCCGGAATTACACACACACACGGGTCACCCCCTTTTTCCTCCTGGGGTTACTTGGGAGCAGGCCTCGCTCTCCCGTGTGCCTGGTGGGTTTCACATTAAAGGAGACACTGCGTACCCCAAGGCAGATGTTGGGTACTTGGGGACCCCTCTGCTTCCCCTTGCTGCAGGCACTTGCTCCCAACATGAATCCACAACGGCAGTGCCTCCACCTGTCCGCACTTGCTGGTGTGTCTTGGGAGCCTCTCCGGCCCCAGAGTTAAGCACTTTGCCAACAGCCCCAGAGACTCCCAGCACCTTCTCCGCAGCCCTTCTCTGTCAGGGCCTCTCCCGCCTGGGACAATTCCCATCAGCCCCTGCAGCAGCCGGCGAGATCCCAGTCCCAGCAGGCTCCGGCTTCCAGCAGCAACTCCTGGCCTGGAAAAGGCCTCGTGGGACAGGGCCGTTTTGCTCAGTCAGCTTGTGTACCCAGGATTGGTAGACGGCGCCGATGGACCCGTAGCCACACGGGGAATGGATGCAGGGGGGGTGCCCAGCTTGCCCAGCCAGTGTGAACAGGGGGTGAATAGAAACCTGTGAACGTAAGAACATAAGAACGGCCGTACTGGGTCAGACCAAGGGTCCATCTAGACCAGTATCCTGTCTGCCCATAGCGGCCAGCGCTACGTGCCCCAGAGAGGGTGGACCAAAGACAATGATCAAGCGATTTGTCTCCTGCCATCCCTCTCCAGCCTCTGACAAACAGAGGCCAAGGACACCACTTTATCCCCTGGCTAATAGCCTTTTATGGACCTAACCTCCATGAATTCATCTATAAGATGAAAATTGTGTCGATCAGTCAGGAACTAAGAAGCCCCCCTGACCAAAGTGGGGAATGACTGCGGGGCTGTCTTGGGGGTGGATAGAAACTAGGTCAGGTCTACACAAGGGAGTCATTTTCAAACAACCCCCCTTATTTCAAAATAATATGCGGAGCATCCGCACGAGTGTCCGCTTGAGCTGTTACTTCGAAATAACAGGCTGGTGATTCTGAAATCGGTACGGCTCCCTCCCTGGGAGGGTCATTTCAAAATCGTTCTTCTAAAATAGCGGTTGTGGGGATTCTCTGGTGCTGCTAATTAAAAATAACGACTCCCCAGAGTCGTGCAAATTCAGCACTCCCGGTGCTTCCTGGGGCTCTATGTCAAAGGTGGTACATCCACATTTCAATTTTGCTCTTTCAGGAGTTATTAAATTGAATGTAGTAATTTTGAAATAATTTCCTAGTATGGACAGGCCCTGGGAGAGGTTTGTAGGGGGGACACAAGGAACAGTTTATGGGGTGACTGGGGGACAGGACAAGCTAAGGAATGGGGTGGGGCAGACATACCTCCTACTCTGTAACCTCAGGGGTAGTGGCCTTGTCCGCAACCGCCCAGCACCTCCCCTTTGCTGGGGATGATACACGTGTCCCTGTCCAAGCCAATGGCATTGCAGAGACAACTTTTGCCTGGTCACTCAGTGCCCTCTGATCAAGACAGTCCAATGGATGAGGAACTAGTCGTGGCTGGAGCAGATGTGGGTCCCTGGCTGTATCTGTACCCGGCGATACATCCCCATCCAGACTCCTGCAGGAGAAGGCAAAGCAGAAATTGATCCATCTGCAGACTCTGACTCCTGGGGCTCCCTCCTATGTCTGGAGCCAGTGTGTGCTGGAGGCGGGGACTGGGAATCAGAGCTGTGGGCAGATTCCCACCACGCTGCTCTCCAGCCAGGTCTCAGCCCGGAACCCCTGGGATCCCAGGCTAAGCATGGCCAGGCTGGTGGGTACTTGATTGGGAAAGACGGGGTAAGCAGGGGGGCGCTCTCCCTTGCCTCTTATTGCTGACTCGGGCTAGTCTCTAGGTGGCGCTGTTCTCCCTGGAGCATCACTCACCTGGCCGCTTCCACAGTAACAATCCCAGGACCCCAATTGCCAGGGCAGTGAGGATGCAGCCAGCCATGATCCCCAGGACACCAGGCCAGCCCGGGCGCTGAGAATCTGGAAACATCCCAAGTCAGACTGAGTCAAGGGTCCTCCACACTCCCTGTGCCCCTCCCCCAGGGCCTTTCCCACCCCCACGTTCCATGTTTGGGAATCCTGAACCACCATCTCCTTCCTCCTGCTAGCCTGCTCCTCTCAGACACCCTCTGGAACTCCACTTGTTACAACCTTCCAGCATGACTAGGAACCCCTGAGAACAGTTCTCCAGCCAGTTACGCACCCACCTTACAGTCACCCCAACTAGGTTGTAGTGCCCTAGTCTATTGACAAGAAGATCATGCAGGACAATAGCAAATGCCCTGCTAAAGTCTTGGTAAACCACATCCATCGCTTCTCCCTTAGCCACAAGACTTGTTATCTTCTCAAAGGAAGCCATCCGACTGGTTTGACATGAGTTGTTCTTCACAAATGCATCCTGGTTGTTACCAATCACCTTACTATCTCCCAGGGGTTTGCAGATGAATTCCTTAATTTCTTGCTCCAATATCTTTCCTGGCACAGAAGTAAAACTGACTGGTCTGTAGCTTGCTAGGTTGTTCTTATTTCCCTTTGTGTAGATGGGCACGAGATTTGTCCTTTTTCCATCTTCTGGAATCTCTCCCACCTTCCATGACTTTTCCAAGATGATAGCTAAAGGCTCAGGGTGTGTCTAAACTACATGGCTCCATCGATGGAGCCATGTAATTTAGGCTGATCGGCAAAGAGAAATGAAGCCACGATTTAAATAATCGTGGCTTCATTTAAATTTACATGGCTGCTGTGCTGAGCCGACAAACAGCTGATCAGCTGTTTGTCGGCTCAGCGCGCTAGTCTGGACGCTACCGCGTCGACCTGAAAGCCCTTTATCGACCTCCCTGTTATGCCTCGTAGGATGAGGTTTACCGGGGAGGTCGATAAAGGACTTTCATGTCAACAGGGGAGCATCCAGACTAGCACGCTGAGCCGACAAACAGCTGATCAGCTGTTTGTCGGCTCAGTGCGGCAGCCCTGGAAAATTTAAAG